TGAACTTTTTGGTACTGTGTTCTTCTGTTTACCCCTCATGCCAATATTGAAGGCAAAAGCAAAATATTGCAGATGCTCGCAGTAAGAAGGAAATGCTGAGCAGGTATGGTTCATTCTGAAACAGATTAGTCAATAGGTGCTGCTAGATCTGCTGAGTGTTTCCAACATTTTCCATTTTTAAGAAAATAGATTCATTTCCGATGTGTGTGCAGCTTAATAATCCCATTTCAGATCTCTTTCGAATCAGTGTTTCTAATTGGCATCCAATGATGCAATAATACTACTGATGACCTGAAATTTGACGCACTAAACAGATTAAAATGTCGGCATGAAGTCAAGGATAGAGTCTCTGGTATCATTGGAGCAATGTCTGTGTGTTCTTCACATGCCCAGTGCATAGAACATAGAACAGTACAATACAGGCCCTTCGGCCCATGATATTGTGCCGAACTTTTACCCTAAACCGAAGGTTTATTTTATCTCCACCCCTACCTTACACTATCATCCATATGCCTATCTAATAGCTGTTTAAATGCCCCTAATGAGGCCGACTCCACTACCCTCTATGGCAATGCATTCCATGCCCCGATCACACTCTGAGTAAAGAACCTACCTCTGACGTCACCCCTATATCTGCCTCCACTCACTTCAAAATTATGCCCCCTGGGAAAAAGTCTCTGGTTATCCACTCTATCTATACCTCTGATCATTTTGTACACCTCTATCAAGTCACCTCTCATCCTTTGTCGTTCTAAAGAGAAATGCCCTAGCGCTCTCAACCTCCATTCCAGGCAACATGCTGGTAAATCTCCTCTGCACCTTTTTCAACGCTTCCACATCTTTCCTGTAATGAGGCGACCAGAACTGGATGCAGTACTCCAGATGTGACTGAACCAGGGTTTTATATAGCAGGTAATGGTTTGAGAAGAGGTATTCTGGTTGCATTTTACAGCACAGAAAGAGGGAAACCATTCAAACCATTACACGTATGCTGGCTTTCAGAAGGCCAGCAACTTCAGAATCCCATTCTGTTGCCTTTCCGTTATGTTCCTGTTTAAAGGAAACAGTTCTCTGAGTGCATGCATTTGCTGAGTAAAAAGTGTCTTAGTCTTCAATTTATCTGAAGTTAATTTAAGTTGTAATTTGTAATAAAGTGGGAAGAGTGGGGATCTTCAAAGTGTACAGAGCAGGAATAAGAGTGATTTCAATAACAATTATAATGGAGATGACAGGTCAGATGATGTGCTGCACTGGCAGCTTCTGGACAATAAGGTGATTCACAGCACATCTGTAGAAGTGTTCGCAGTTTAAGAAACATCCGGCCTATGTTTGAAGAGCTGGAGTCTGAGTTGCAGTCGTTGCACCACATCAAGGAGGAGAGAAAGTTACCTGGGCAATTTGCTCAAGGAGACCGGCACACCCATTAGATTAAGTAATTCAAACTTACCCTCCCATCTTTGTTGGCAGGCCATGATTGTCGGTAAGGCCAATATGTGACCCAAGGCAGGGGGGACCCCTCAAGTCTGAGTCCCTGCAATTGTCCAACAGTGACAAGGTTCCTACAACCTGTGGATGAGTGTGGAAACTGTAGGGAGGATGAATAATCTGACCACAGCATTGATACAGGGAGCCATTCAAGTGGGGTGAGGAAATAGGAACGTAGTAATGGTAGAAGACAGTATGATTTAGGGGGTTGACACTTTTCTGCAGCCACTGGCATGTGTTCGAAGGCTGTGCTGCCTGCCTGCTGTAATGGTTAAGGACATCTCCTGGGGAAGGGAGAAGGACTTGGAGTTTGGCAAGGGGTGGTTGTGATGCTATTCTTGCCCATGTTGGTACTAATGGTAAGAGTGGAAAAGACAGTGTAAGTGATTAAGAGCTAAACCTAAATACAGAACCTCCAGGGTGATATTCTCCAGATTATTACCTGAGCCACGGGAATATTTGCATGGTATAAAAAATGTCAGAGTAAAGTTTCACATGGAAGGAATAGGTTTTAGTGCATGGAGCACTGGCACCAGAACTGGGGTAGAAGAGAGCTGCTCTGGTCAGATGGGCTTCACTTAAATCATTCAGGACCAGTGTCCTGGCAAATTGAATAACAAGGGCTTTAAACAAATTTAGAAGTTAGGATTTGGGAGGGGCATAACATAGGCTTTTAAGCAAAAGGATGTGGCAGCATTGTAGGGCCGCTATTTTGATTATGACATCCAGAGTGAGGTAAGAAGAAAACGGTAAAAAAGCAAAATTAATGGCTGTTCACTTGAATGCACACATTATTCAGAACAAAGTGAATGAATTAACTTCACAAATAGAGTTTTTAATAGGTGTGATCTTATAGCTATCATGGAGATAAAGTTGCAAGGAGATCAAAGCTGGGATTAATTAAATAAAACAAATAGATTAATTAAATATTCAGAGGTTTGTGACCTTTCAAAAGGGCACACAAGAAGGGATGGTAATTGAGGTAGATTTGTTAATATGATATGGAATAAGTATGTTAGCAAGAACTGATTTTTTTTTTGAACTGGAGAAGGTAGGATCCTTATGGATCGAAGTAAGAAATAACAAGAGGAAGAAGACACTGGTGGAAGCAAGTTATGGGCTCCTTAACAGTAGCTGTTCAGTAAGACTGAGAACAAATCAGATGCAGACATGTAAAAGAGGCAGTACATTAATCATGGGTGACTTTAATCTTGCAGGTTAGGAAAAACCAATTGGCAGAGGTAGCTACAAGGAAGAATTCATCTTTTGTATTTGGGGTAGTTTACTAGAATAATACATGTGGATCCAACTAGGCTATTTTAGATCTAGTAATCTGTAATGAAACAGATTTCATAGATGATCTGAGGAAAAAGATCCCCAGGAGAAGAGCCTCTAACATAACATTCAGTTTGAGAGGGAGAAACTTGGATCAAAAATTACTTAAATAACAGTAATTGCATGTGAATGAGGGCAGAATTGTATGGAGTTGAATAGGACAGGAGCTTAGCAGAAGAAAGGTAAAATTACCACAAGGCGACACTCTCATAGGAGGGAGAGACAACTGATGGTGGATTAACCTGAGGGCGTCATGCCTCAAGTGGAGGCAGAGATTGACGAAGAGAATCTTTTATGGTAACCTGAGCTATTTGGGGTTTGAACCTATTCTGTTGGCATCACTCTGCATCACAAACTAGCTGTCCAGCCAACTGAGCAAACCATCCCTCCTTAGCAGAAAAGACAGTTGCAGAAGAATGCCAGATGTTGTAGACAATAGTTCATGACTGACAGCAAAGGCATGCCCCAATGGGAAAGCAGGATTCTAGGAGGGGTACAAAACAACCATGGTTAATCAGTGAAGTTTAATAATAAATTTCACATTGAAAGAAGAAAAAAGAAAATGTGGTAAAGATTAATGGTAAGTCAGAGGGTTGGGAACATTGTTTAAAAGCTAGTAAAAGGTGGACAAAATAAATGGAGAAAAGAAACTAAAGGCAAACACAAGAACAGTTGATTTTAGTTACTTTGCAGTAGTCTTCACAGTCAAGGACAGTTATAGCATTCCAAAAATACATAATAATCAAGGGGCCATAGGAGAAGGGAGGATCACAATCACAAAACAAAATTGAATCTGTTCATAGGGTGTAAAAGTTGCTAGCTAAGCCAGCATTCATTGCCCCTTGATCGAAGTGGCTTGTTAGGATCATTTTGACTACATTAATGTAATTCTTAGGTCCTGTGTAGGCCAAGTAATTAGGGCAGATGCACACCCCTCCCCCATCCAAAAGTGAACCAGATGGCTTTTGTCTGATGATTGTCAATAGTTACGCAGTTGCTGTTTGCCTAACTTTTTTCTATTTTCAGACTTTTGGGAAAACAGTATTTGGGAAATTGATGGGAATTAAGGTGGTTAAATCCAAGGTCTGATAATCCAGACTACTTGAGGAAGTGGTCCGAGAAATAGTTGATGCATTGGTGGTCACCTTACAAGATTCTATAGACATTGGAAAGTGCCTACAGATTGGAGTTACATTAGCTATCTTCCACTATTTTTTAAAAAAAAACTAGGTTGTGAGAAAATGGAATTATAGACCAAGTTAGTTTGTCATAAGTGGTAGTGAAAATGCCAGAGTCCATTTGTAAAGATTTAATATCAGAGCACTTGGGAAACAGTGATAGGATTGGGCAGAGTCAGCATGAATTTGCAAAAGGGAAATCATGCTTAACAAATCTATTGGAATTTTTTGAGGATGAAACTAGTAAAAGTGATAAGGGGAGCTACTGGATGTGATTTTAATAGGAATTCAGGAAGCCTTTCAATAAGAGATTAGCATACAGAATTGAAGCGCTTGATGTTGGGGGTAGCGTACTAACATGGATAAAGAACTTCACTCTGATTTGGACAAGCTGAGTGAGTGGATAACTGCATTGCGGATGAAGTATAATGTGGCTAAGACAGGAAAGCGGATTATCAGATCAGCCATGCTCTCGTTGGCTCAGTGGGCTGAATGGCCTACTTCTCCCATGCCTTGTCGTCTTGGAAAACGTGTTGAAGCTACTTACTGAGCAAATGTAGTTAATCAGTGCATTGTTCAATATTAAGGACAAATATTATTAATTTTTTTAATGAAATGAGTTCTAGTTTCTTAATCTTTATATGACCGAAACTTGTGACCTATGGTAGCCTCTGTCATGCCCACCTTTTATAGTTCATTAAACATCTATCTCCAATAGACTCATGCATCTTTATGTTCTTCGTAATGTGTTGTATTGAGTTGGTTTGGTTTGGTATGTGTAAATGCATGTCTGTGCTAAACAGCAACAGATTAAATGATATTCTATACAGGCTTTATTAAAAAGAAAATGCAGCATTCATTCTTATTTGGCTAAATAGGTTATGTTAATCAAATATAATGCTTACATGTTGGGATTAAAAACTTTATCACCTGATGGCCACACTTTTTTTTTCATTTTTCCATTCCTAATGCTATCCATGTGTATTTTTTTTAAAATTTCAGGACAACCTTTACTGATCAGTTCCAGTAGACTCAAAGCTCTGTTGGTTTCTCCATCATCCCTGGAACCTTGTAGGAAAAAGGCAGAATTACCAGTGAAGAACCCAAAGAAGGAAGTCAAAGGAGAGGCAGGGATAAGAGAATGAAATGAAAGCAAAAGTAAGAAATTAGAAGTAAATGAATAATATAGAGAAAAGTCCAAGGGAGGATTTGGATATACCAAAGAAATACAAATAAAACTTGTCTTGAAGTCTGTGATTTTTTTTTTAAATCTTTGTCTTACTTTGTCACAGTAAAATCAGTAATTTTTGCAGATGAATAATTGTACAATAAATTTTGTGAAGATATAAAATACAATTTCTGTACTTTTGAAAACGTTGCAGTCCTGATTGGCAGAATTGAGAGAGCTTGGATATACCTAATGCAGCAAGAGAATGTTCCTTGTCTTCAGATTTGTATAAAATTGAAATAAAACGAGAAAACAAATTTCTTTTTACAAAGTGGTAGCTCACCACATTCACAAATAAAATCTCTAAATTATTATATGTAAAACAAAGGCCTCATTCTTCAACCTGGTTTCTATTAAACCAAATTTGCAAACTTCAGCTGAGTTTGCTGTGTTCATGTCCATTCTGTTGCCAAGACTTTGCAACAATGTTACTTAATGGCATTTCCAACGTACTTCATTTAGTACATTGCATATTCTTTGTTTTTAAATGAGTTATTTTTATCTTTTGTCTTCATTTTGTTTTTCTTCTTTCTACTGCCCATTTCTAAATGCCTTTCTGCAGGTAAGATGCTGAGTTTATAACCTGCCTTCAGGCTTCTTTGTTTCCATGCAGTTAGCTTCAAGGAACATCTGCTACCTTTTGAATTATTCCCCTTCCTTTCCTGTGATCTCACACTTGGATTTCATGCCTTCGCTTAATTCACTCTACATAGAAACAAAGAAGATAGCTGCTGGAGTAGGTCATTTGACCCCTCGCCTGTGTAATGCAACATGATCAAAGCTATCACTGAGCTCAATACATTAATCCTGCCCTCTCCCCATATCTCTTGATCCTTTTTAGCCATAAGAATTCTACCTGGAGAACAAAATGAATGTTGAATCATCGATACATGCTAGAAATCTGTATATGCGGTATCCATTGTGGAGAGCTTTTACAACATGCAGTGATGCTGAATAATTAACCTGGAATGGAAGATCAGTTAAAGGTTTTGTAGGAGAGCATCCCTTGATCAGGGACAAAGACTCAGGAGGCAGACAAGATTCTGGCAAGTGGCAGACTTTATTCAAGCAACAACTGGTTAATACAGGGAGAGGGCTAAAAGATCTTTACTGTATGTGGCCTTGACATGAGAACCCAGTTGTTCTCTTAATCCATGGCTCAGATTGGAAGAGAGATCAATGACACTGATTTTTACAGTGAAATACAGCATTTTTATACGTTTTGTGTAACAATAATCACACACAGCATAGTCACTGTGTCCTTCTCCCCCTTATTCCATACAGCCAATCCTGGGAAACACCTAATCAATGATGGGCATTCCTATGGACAGCCCCAAGTTGTCGTGATCTCATGGTGTTTAACAGATATTGTACCTGTCAGGCCTTGGGATCTTTCCATGCATCTTATTAATTCTCATTCCAAAGTTACTCCTTTGGTCCATTCTACATTTGCTTCCCTCTAAGACTGCTTCAATTCTGTTATTCATTGTATTCCATGAGCTATCTTTATCAAATTCTGCTATTCTTCTTATATTTTACACATCCATCCAAGCATCCATCCATCCATCCATCCATCCATCGCTGGTTTTAACTAACCGCTATAAGATTCGAAGTATTAACTTCCCATCATAAAATTAATTGTACTTTTTAACTAAGTTGTGAGCAGTCTATTTCGCCCAGGATATGCCAGGCAGGCATCTATTGTAGAGATAAAGAAAGCATCTCCTGAGACCAATTAATTTCTACATCTAGGTTTAAATGTTTTTCCCCCTAATACTTTGGTTTAGGTGTTACCTATTCTTACGTTGAAATCTATCTCTGTGGTTATCTGAAGAATCTTTAACTAGAACCTATCTGTTAATATTGTGAATAACTTCAAAGAAACAACCAATTACTACAAAATAACTTTAACTATTGTTTTCATAGCTGCTTAATGAAGTAGGCTCACTGAGATTTACACCCCTTGTCCTGACTGCTGCTGTTCACCTAATGGGACAACATCCTTTCAATAATGAGGCTGGAATCAATCACTTGTCTATCCTTAGGCATCCTCTTATCAAACTGTCTCAGATGGTTGCTTTTAGGGCCTCCTGTTCAAAGGTACCATTATGTTTCACTTAAATGCTAGAGCAGGCTGTTTCATTTTGTTTAATCCTTCTCGGCCATTTTGTGTCTTTTAAACGCAGGCCGCCCTTACAGGTTTAAATTGTGAAACAAACCCTCAATATGAATCAATGTCAAAAGAACAACATTAATGGCTCTTTAATGGTTATGATTAGTGAAGAGCCATCAAAATATGAGAGGATCATCAATTATTTAAAATGCTTAAGATTAAGGGGTACTTTAAAACCATGACAAAGTTCTTCTGGAGATTTCAACTGACTAGTCATGAAGGAAGGCACATTTAAGTAGAAGATTAACAAGTATCTGATTCATATCAAAATTCATCACCAGTGAATGGAGACATGTTGGAAGGAAATGACAGCTACTACATGTATTCTCTGTCAACAGTTAAATTTGCAATATGTGTGCAGGTGACCCTTGTAAGAGTGAATTCAGTGAATTGTTTCATGTTGGTAAGGACACCAGAGATTATTTTGCTGTTCAAAATAGTGTTATGGGAGCTTATACAGCCCTCTCAGGGAAGTTTTAATCTCTCATCTGAAAGACAGTACCTTGAACATTGCAATTTTCCTTCAGTATGTTACAGAAGTGTTGGTGTAGATTGTTTTCTAATCACTGGAGCTAGACTTTTGTGTATGATTTGAGATGATTCACATCTAGCTATGTGATGGCATTTTACTAGCAATTTCATATCAAGATCTGTGAATACTCTGGTTTCACATTTACAGTAACTTCATTTTATTAAGCAATAAACTGTCATTGACTTAACAACAGTTTGAACTGAGTTTAATGTTGATTTAAACCAGTGCAACAACTTTAGTTGCTTATCACATGCAATGTATGAATTAACCAATATAGATTAAGTACATTGCTGCAATTTATTTGTGATCTCTGTCAACTTGATAAAAGAAACCTATGAACTGTATAAGCTTAATGAAGCAGGTTGCCAAGGTCAATCTTTCAAAGAAAAGGTTTCTATATTGAACAAACTCCTGTGCACAAGCATGGCATATAGATCTAAATTTTGATAGAGTAGCTGATTTAGGTACATCAAACTCTCCAGCATACGGAGCTTGTATGTTCACCTTCACCCTGAAAGTCCCAGCTCAACAACATTTCATTATTCTTAATAAGATGAGATTGATGGACTCTATTCCAAGAATGTTTAATTTCAAGGATCTAGAAAAGCCCTGGGAGATTTTGAACTCTTGAGAAAATGAACATTTCTGAAGAAGAACCCTGACCTGAAACGTCAACTTTCCAACTCCCCTGATGTTGCCTTGCCTGCTGTGTACCTCCAGCTCCACACTGTTGTCCTTTTCAACTAGCTAGATTTTTCTCCATTTATTGTTCTACATAACATTTGTCTCATATCATTGGTTCCTTAATTAAACTCATGTACAACTGTGCAAATCAACAGTTGTGGCATGGGACATTCCTGTCTTGAGGATTGGAAAGAGAACAGTATTGAGATTTTAGAGTGCAGTGTTAGGATCATTAGAAGATATTTGCTGTCCTTGAACTATATTCTTGACTTTTAAAATTAATGTTAAAACATGACCCCTTGTTTCAATAAGTCCAATGTAAAAATATGTCAATAGGGACTTTTTGAAATCAAGTTTTAAAAAAATCAATTTTGTTTGAGTACAGAAACCTTTGGAATGGGAAATAAAATTGCATCCAGGTTATTCCACCAACTGGGTAGCTACAGAAGTGGGCAATCAAAATAATCTGTATTTTTCCAATCCTTAGCAAGGTTTGTTATTCACATCCAGCCATATGTTTTAATCCTTTATGGAACAAAAATTGTTAGGTTGCACTGTGAATCCTGCATTGTTTTCTTTTTATATTTTTCACTTGACAAACTCCTGGCTATGTAGTACAATTTAGTTTGATAAGGCTGAGTCAAATGAGACATTATAAGTTACTGCAACAAATACATAATTGGCTTAACAGCTTTTACGAGATGAGGAATTGTGGTCATCTCTTCATGCTACACTTGGCAAGAATTGTTTGTGTAAAATGATATGAGCGCACATCCACTTTTAGCAAAAGTAGAAAAGATGCTGGATTATTAGTTTTAAGCTTCAGTACATGTTAGTGAAAAAAAATGCTAAAATTGGGGTATTGCTTGTTTTGGCCATTTACATCTGTCCAAAAGTTAGTCCTATTTTGAATGGTATTTGGTCAGGACAAAATTTCTGAAGAAGGGTCTAGGCCCGAAACGTCAGCCTTCCTGCTCCTCTGATGTTGCTTGGCCTGCTGTGTTCATTCAGCTCTACACCTTGTTATCTCAGATTCTCCAGCATCTGCAGTTCCTACTATCTCTCTAACACATGGACAAGTTTGCATTTACCAGCATCAAGTGAGTTTTGAACTTCAGTTTCATACGTTTTCTTGGATGTACAGAAAATGTTTTTTTTTTGTTTTGTTTTTTTTTCAAACTTTCTTTTTCAAACTGGTTGACAACCTGTCAATTTGCTAAATAGTAAGGTTGGTCATGACATTGTGGTCAACTGTGAAGGAATAGCATTCGTTGTTCATTATGCCAAAACTGCTCGTTTGTGTACTTTTGAATGGCGTCTTGATGTCATTAGGTATCTGATCTGATGGATCCGTGGCATGTGAAGGTAAAATGTAAACTGGTCTTGAACCTGTTAGATTGAAGAAGTATATAATTGAGAAAGAGAGAAATGGCAAGCAATAGATAAAACAAAAGACAATTTTTATATAAATTTTCAAAAAAAATTAATTAAATTGAGAAGGAATAAGACTCTACATTTGTAAATTTAAATTTTTAGTGCCACAGAATTATTTGGCTATAGTTATGATTGACCAACAGTGCTGCATAACATTATGTCCCACATAGGAAGATGTTTGTGGTTGTTAGTCATCTC